CACTCTCTCTGTCTTTTCCCCGTTTGTTCTTCTTCTCTATATTCTCCACCCGTTATATGGTTTCTTTCCCTTTCGAGTCGCCAGCCCCGCGGAGGCTGGAACCTTTTCCATGCCTCCTATTCTTCCCTTAGTCTCTTTACCCTTCTCCGTCTTTCTACCTCACTCGTGCAGGAAGGATTGGAGGTTAGATGCCGGTGGTAGCAAACCACCTTCCGATAGTCACCGGGCCAGCTGATTGCTTGTTGGCTTTGCTTGAGCGCTTCCACATTTGCAGGTGTAGTGGAAGCAATCCGATAAATCTCCCTTTTTTAATGTTTTCACTCGGTTTTATTCAGTAACTGCTGTACAATTGCGACAGGCTCTTTTCCTTGAATTGGGAATCTGGATGGGTTCAGTTGATTCGCTTCCAAGAGCCTGATTGGGAGAAGGGGGGGTTGTGGGACTATGAAGATGCTGGCTATAAGATTAATATGACTTTTGCTTCGTCTCCCCTTTCCCCTACCTTCCCCCGGTGATTTATCTGGCAAGAAAGTCGGTCATTCATCGTCATCTTCATTCATCGAGCGAGTACCCAGTGGGGTACGTAGTCTAGGAAAGATCCCAACTCCCGATACGTAACCCCCGCGCACTTCACCGCCTCAGGCTGCCTTCGCGCCGGTCTCTTCAAAGTGAACTCTGCTTTCTCTCCTTCCATTTCATAGTTTCCTTTCCTCCTCTTCCTTCCCCCTCCTCCTCCTCTTCTTCTTCTTCTTCTTCTTCTTCATTCTCAATCTCTCTCCTACTGTTTCTCAGTGAATTCGATTAGATCGTTGCTTGCTGTTCATATTTCCTGTTGATTTTACTCTCCCGCCAGCTTTCATGGCCTAATTCGCAACTTTATCGCCGGTCTCCCCCACACCCAACAACACCAACAACCCACCGTTACTACTTTTAGCTTATCTTTTCCCCTCCCAGGGTAACTCGACCCCTCTTCCTCCTACAAACTTAACTCATCGTATCCCCCCCCCGTCCTCCTCCCTTCTGCTTTTGCTTCATTTTATATTTATCCCCACACCTGGGTGAGAATAACAGAGCTCATTCCCATCCCCTCCCTCGTTTTTCCCCAAAGTAGAAGAAAAACGCATTGAGCGGGCACTAATCCGGGAAATCATTCCAGCATCCCCGTCGTGTCCCCCGTTCTTGTCCGCTTCCGTCATCATGGCCTCCGAACACCGGGCTTCCACCAACTTACCCGATGGCCAGCCCAATCCGGGTCCCATTGGGTCGGGCCTGAGTGTTCTGGGCGAAGACGCTTTCTTACAAGCATCCAATGCCACGCCAGACCTGGCGGTTGAATCGAAACAGCCCGTCGTCTCCGATGGTCCTTCTTACTTCTCCGATGTCGCGACCAACTCACCGGCCGCCACTTCGTCCGTTGTTTCCCCTTCCACGCCTGCTCTGGCGGCTAGAGAAGCAAAATCAGGACGTGAATTACTGCGTCGGTTAAGTCTAGTTGGCACGCCCACGTTGTCAGACATGGATCCCCGTGAGCAGTACCCGGGCTTGCACCTCACCGGTCGGATTATTAGTGCTGCCTTCTGTGTTCCGTACAAACTCTACATGCGATCCGGTTCAGACTGGGTATGTCAGCCCTCCAACCTTCACTCGCTGTCTCCTTTGGGTGGTCGTTATCTCTACAATCGGAAACCCAGCTGACTTGGCTTCAGGAATTGAAACCGCGCCCCGGAACATCTGCCCTGTTTGACTCTCTGGCCTATCTCGGCTCCCAGGACTCGAAATGGTCTCACACCCTTGTTGGCTGGACTGGTGAGGTAGAACCAGCCCAAGAGACGGCGGTACCTCTGCAGCAGATCCCCATCAACACCAGTGCCAAATTCCCTACGACCGTGAACGGGTCCACCATACATTTGAACAAAGCAGCAGCTCCGGTGCCCGTCGATGCTAACCAACGGCCGCCAAGTCACCCTCTCCTGGAAGGGCTCCGGGTAGGGCAAGCCGATCGAGATCAACTCGATAGGCAAATGAGCTCCACGCGCTATGGGAAAATCGCCCCTGTGTGGCTGTCAGCTGAGTCGGATGTCCCCGAAGAACCCATCCTCTTGGAGGATCAAGGGCGGTGGAGACGTTATGCCGAAAGGGAATTATACCCCCTACTTCATTACAAGCAGCATGGTCCTACGGATGGAAGATCAGAGCGCACGTGGTGGGCCGACTATGTCCGTATGAACCGGCTTTTTGCGGATCGTATCGTGAAGGAATACAAGGAGGGTGACATTGTCTGGATCCATGACTACCATCTTTTCCTTTTGCCGAGCATGTTACGTCAACGCATCCCTAACGTCTACATTGGATTCTTCTTACACGCACCATTCCCTAGCAGCGAATTCATGCGCTGTCTCGCCAAGAGGAAGGAGGTGCTCACTGGAGTCCTCGGTGCGAATATGATCGGTTTCCAGACCTTCTCCTATTCCCGTCATTTTTCGTCTTGCTGTACCCGCGTCTTGGGATTCGACTCTAATTCAGCTGGAGTCGACGCGTACGGCGCCCATGTGGCGGTTGACGTGTTTCCCATCGGGATTGACACCAGTGCTATTCAACGAGCAGCCTTTGAATCCACCGAAATAGAGCAAGCGGTGTCGGGAATTCGCAAGCTGTACGCCGGCAAAAAAATCATTGTTGGTCGCGATCGATTGGACAGTGTCCGAGGTGTAGCACAGAAGCTGCAATCCTTCGAAGTCTTCCTCGAAAAGTACCCGGAATGGCGTGATAAGGTGGTTCTGATCCAGGTGACCAGCCCCACTAGCGTCGACGAGCAGAAGGAAGAAAACAAGATTGCTAGCCAGATCTCGAATCTAGTCTCTACAATCAATGGGCGCTTCGGATCTCTAAGCTTTTCACCCGTCAAATATTATCCGCAGTACCTTTCCCCGCACGAGTATTTTGCATTGCTGCGGGTGGCTGACGTGGGCCTGATCACAACGGTTCGGGATGGGATGAATACGACCAGTCTGGAATATATCATCTGCCAGCAGAACAACAATGGCCCTTTGATACTCTCTGAGTTCTCGGGTACTGCGGGAACACTCTCCAATGCAATTCATATTAACCCATGGGATACGGTGGGAGTCGCGGGCGCAATCAATAAAGCTCTCTGCATGTCCCCTGAGGAGAAGGCGGTGCAACAGCAGAAACTATACAAGCATGTCACTGCCAATACCGTCTCGGCCTGGTCTAAGCAGTTCCTCACCCGTCTGCTCACGAATCTATCTTCCTTTGATCAGTCCGTGGCAACGCCAGCTCTCGATAGAGTCAAGCTATTGAAGCAGTATCGCAGAGCTCGTAAGAGGTTGTTCATGTTCGATTATGATGGGACCCTTACTCCAATTGTGAAGGACCCGCAAGCAGCTATTCCATCTGATCGCGTTCTCCGCACTCTCAAGACTCTCGCTGCGGACCCACGGAATGCAGTATGGATCATCAGTGGCCGTGATCAGGCTTTCTTGGATGAGTGGATGGGCCATATTCCTGAATTGGGCTTGAGTGCCGAGCATGGATGTTTTATTAGGAAGCCTCATTCCGACGACTGGGAAAATCTGGCCGAGCGAAGCAACATGGGTTGGCAGAAGGAGGTCATGGAAACATTCCAGCACTTTACTGAACGAACTCAAGGCTCCTTCATAGAGAGAAAGCGGGTCGCTCTCACGTGGCACTACCGGCGCGCCGATCCTGAATATGGTGCATTCCAAGCTCGCGAGTGCCGAAAGGCGCTTGAAGATACCGTAGCCAAGCGGTGGGAAGTGGAAGTTATGTCAGGTAAGGCCAACTTGGAGGTCCGGCCGACTTTTGTGAACAAGGGCTTTATTGCCGCCCGCTTGGTCAATGAGTACGGAAATGAGCCTGGAGATGCACCCGAATTTATCTTCTGCTCAGGAGACGATTTCACAGATGAAGGTATGTCCCCAGCCCCCTGGCGCCATTATTTCTCAGCAAATACTCGGATGCTGACTGCACTCTTCGTTCCCAGACATGTTTCGTGCTCTGCAGGGATTCGACTTGCCACAAGATCACGTTTACTCGGTCACTGTTGGGGCAAGCTCAAAGCAAACAGCCGCCAGCTGGCATCTTCTCGAGCCGGCGGATGTGATTGAAACGATCTCGATGTTAAACAATAGCTCTTGCTCTCAAGAGTACTAGACCACCCCACGCGCCTTTTACGACCGGGATGCAGCTCCTTTTCTCTCTCTCTCTCTCTTTTTCTTTTTCGTTTCATCTAGACTTTAGCTTCGCTTTCATGCTTATATAACTCCATGTTTCTCCTCCCGGGGCGTCGATGCGGGGCAGCGATGGTGATTGATTTGTTAGAGCTCAAGGCGATTGGGAAGAGGGCGCTCGTCGGCCATGGAGAGGGGCTTTCTCGAGTTCTTCTTTTGCGGCAGCTCTGGACCGAGGGCCCGTTCTCTTTCCGCTTTCGAATCTAATAGCCGTTGATACTATTTCCCTCTTGAACTGGTTTATAGATGGCCGGAGCGAAGATGACGCGCTGCCCCTTCATTCCTTCTTATGTTGTCGTTGTCGTTCGTCGTTGTCTAAAAGTATCGTGCGCTCCGAAGAATATAGAGAGAACACAGAAATGCCGTTCTAAAACCCACGACTCGTCGACGCTGCATAGCCGAGGAATCATATTGTTGTCTTGGCCTGATTCGGTCTTCTGTGCGAACGAGACCCGGCAGGGAAAGACGCCCTCCGACTGTTCTCCACAATCCGGGGATCTCGGCCTGTACTCCGTCCGCATAGAACTGACTGGAGGTTTACCGGTTTACCCCTCCTACGGGTAACTTATGTCTCTTAGTTCTGTTAGCATCCTCTTGTGATGTTCCTGCCCCTCACGGACGTGGTGTCGTGTGCTTCGCCAGCCTTCTAGGAGGTTCGATACAGATTGTGGACCTGAATTATACATATTACCGATTTAGAACATCCCCACGGTAACTTATAAAATAGCTATGAAGACAACGTCGCAACTACCGTGCAGCGTCGATCCAATCAGTCCAGCGCATGGAGCCGGCAAGGGGATCCCACCAGAGGAGAGCTCTAATGCTCCTCAATCTCCCAATCAACCTGTTCTCTATAGAGATAGAGATCAAGTGGGAGATGAGGAAAATGCTATCGACACCCCACGGCCGAAGGAGCTGTCCAAGACCCCACCAAATGTGAGCAATTCCGGGGCCTTGACTACTCGAGGTTTGACACTCGTTCGGACGAGGGAATCAGGAAAGGACTTGGGCCCCCCTCCGGACGGCGGCTTCGGCGCATGGTTCCAAGTGGCCCTTGCCCATTTTGTTATCTTCAATACCTGGGGCTATATCAACAGCTTTGGCGTCTTTCAAGACTACTATACCCAGACCCTGAAGCGGCCGCCCTCTGATATATCCTGGGTTGGCAGTATTCAGATCTTTCTACTGTTCTTCATAGGGACTTTCTCGGGACGTGCCACCGACGCCGGATACTTCAAAGTCATCCTGATTCTCGGGGCCATACTCGAGCTATTTTGCATCTTCATGACTTCCCTGTGCACTCAGTACTGGCAACTGTTTCTGGCACAGGGGATCGGCCAAGGGATTGGCTGCGGGCTCATGTTTTGCCCGACTATTGCTTTGATTCCGACGTACTTTACCAAGAAACGAGCCATCGCGATTGGCATAACAGCCTCGGGATCGGCCACAGGAGGGCTGGTCTTTCCGGCAGTAGTCATGCGGCTTCTACCCCAAATTGGGTACGGATGGACGGTACGAACGTTGGGCTTCATTTCGCTAGCCACGTTGACACCTTGCTTAATCTTTCTTCAGCAAAGGCTGCCGCCCCGTCGTAGTGGACCACTGATCGAATTGAAAGCCTTCCGGGAGACTTCCTATGCGCTTTTTGCGCTGGGAATGTTCCTGAACTTTTGGGGTCTCTACGTGGGATTCTTCTATATCAGCAGCTTTGCGCAAGACATCGTCGGCGTCTCGGAGTCTACCTCGATTGATGTGCTCCTGGTGATGAACGGGGTGGGCCTGGTGGGTCGCTTGATCCCCAACCTACTGGCGGACTGGTACACAGGTCCGTTGAATATGCTCATCCCCTTCAGCCTGATAACTGGGGTCGTGGCCTATTGCTGGGCGGTGGTAGGGAGCTATAGAGGTCTGTACGCTTTCAGTGCCTTCTATGGGCTTGCAGCGGCCGGCATTCAATCCTTGTTCCCCGCCACATTAAGTACATTGACGACCGACTTGAAGAAGACAGGGGTTCGCATGGGGATGGTATTGAGTGTGGTGGCAGTGGCCGCCCTCATTGGCACGCCTATCGCAGGAGCTCTGGTAGATCGGGACGGCGGACAATATCTATACGCACAGATGTTCATGGGAAGTGCCATCCTAGCGGGCACATTGACTTTGATTGCAGCGCGCACAAGCAAATTAGGTCTGTCCTGGCAAAGCGCCTGAAAATGATTCATGATATCAGAACGGGAGGCAGGAGGGAGAGGGAAAATAAATCGAGAAGAACAATCAATCATCAATATGGGCTGGATAAGCCTCAACATAGTTAACTAACTAACCAGTTAAGTTAGCTACCAAATACCACGATGAGTACAATGTGTGAAGAGGTTTTTTGGAGAGGAGGGGGTGGAAACAGTGTTCGATACAAAAGTAAATACTGGACTCGTCTATAATGTAAGCATATTATACACAGGTAGTACATAATATGAAAATATATAGGTAGAGTGCTCGTTGGAGTACCATAGTTAACTTGGATAGAACATGAGACATTAACGTTATATATAACTACGCAGTATCGAGTATCTCATGATACAGTATAGTACATACTGTATTCGGAGCCTAAAGCAAAAATTCAAGTCCACCGATCTCTCCCCCTCCCCCGCCTTCTCTTCCGGGAGAGCTACAGCGTGTGACTGGCTGACTGCTCTTCTCCAACTTCACTTCATCTTCATGTCTCCCTCCCTCCCTCGCCAACTCCTTCACTAACACACACACACACACACACACACACACACATACATAATCTCTCTCTCTCTCACCCCCCCCCGCCGCCACCCCTCCTCCTCCTCCACTACGGCGCAAAGCACAACAACTCCCTCCTTTATTCCTCACCCACTATGGCACCCCGCGGTCGCGGAAAGTTTTCCAAACCTTCGCGAGGAGGTACGTGCAAAAGCCGAACACCAAATTCTGAGAGTGAATGAAGCGGACTTCCCCTCATCAGGATCACACCACAAGAGAAGGATACTGGCCGCGACTGACCCGGTGCAATTTTCCTGCGCACACATCGAACAGGTGGAAAACATTTCAGTCGTGATGTTCAGCCCATTGACAAAGATGGAAACCCTGTTGGCCTTTGGAGGGTTCGTATGCATTTTCTCTTTTTGCCGGACACTCCTTGTCTACCTGGGCTCACTGCACCCCTGAATGTTCTATTCAAGACCCCCTCCCATTGTAAACCACTCTTCAAATCCCAGCCCCACTAATTCCGAGATCACATCGCAGGATCCCGAGGAGAACAATCTCTCCTCTTCCGAGGAGGAGGAATCTTCTGAATCAGGCTCCGAAGAGTCCTCCGACAATGATGATAACGAACCTTCCCACAGCGCCCGACCCGGTCCGTCTTCCATACCCGTTGCGAGCAGCAGCGGTACCACCGAAATGACCCGTGAGGAGCGGCGTGCGGCTGCCAAAGCGAAAAAGCAGGCTGCCCAGGCTCGCCGGATGCACACTGCCGCTCAACCGGGTGACCTACCCCCTTCGAACTCGGACGGATCAGGCAACGACACCGACGACGATGACGACGATCTACCAGCCAACCCTAACCACACGGCCAAATCGCGCTCCCAGCTCAGCGACAACCAGGAAGACGCGCAAAAGCCGAAAGGCGATCTATCGCAGTTGTCGCGGCGGGAGCGTGAGGCGATTGAGGCTCATCAGGCGCGACAACGCTACTTGAAGCTTCATGCTGAGGGTAAGACAGAGGAGGCTCGCTCCGACTTGGCTCGTTTGGCGATCGTTCGCGAACAGCGTGAGGCTGACCGCCTGCGCAAGGAAGCTGAGAAGGAAGAGAAGGTCGAGCTTGCGAAGCAGCGCGCCGCCGAACGAGATGCCAAGCTGCAGGCTGCCAAGGGTGGGAAGAAGAAAGTTTTGTCAAAGAGAAAGTAATCGCCACGCAATAGACATCTCCAATTTGGCTTTAGTTCCCATTGCCGCTGGTGCACATCATATACCTTGATTCAGTACATGTTTTGGAATCATGATTGGCCTTGCTTTCCCTTCTAGTCTTCTCTATCAAGTCCTTGGCAGGAATACAGAGCCACACACATGACATAAGATCATGCGTTATATCTATCCAGAAGATATGCTGTACAGTACGAAAGTACTTCTGTTTCAACTAACAGGTGGAACGGATTTTCACATCCATTTACAGTAGGTTGTCAGATAAAATACCCTACAAATCCTTCAACCTGGAATCTGGGTCCTCCTATAGGAAACGAGAAGGCGAAAGATATTATCATAAATCAGTGGACCATGACTGACCGAGTAATTGCAGCACCAAGACAAGATGACATATACGCCGGCGCTGAGGAAGGAAAAAACTTAAGACTTACATACATTGCAGCTATAGTGGTGAAGAGGAGATGCTCTTGAGGGGGAGCAGCTCGAGCACCAGCTCGAGCACAGGGCAGTGCTTACGCGCCCCAGACCAAGACCTCCAGGATCTGGCCTTGCATGACCAGGCTCCATCCGGCGACTAGGCTGACAAGCCACAATATCGCGAATGCTAGGATAGGGAGCAAGAGTAGCTCGGTGTTGTGCAAGAAGGGAAGGGCATTGTATCCCAAGAATGTAATATAGGTGTAATATGTCAGTGCAGACAGGTAGAGCGTGTTGCCGAGGAAAGTAGCCAGGAAATTGCTTGGACTGCGGGTGAGCAGTGGCAGAAGAAGAAACTGCACAACATAAAGATGCAGATAAAGGGGAAAGTATGCCCGAATCGATACCTGGGATTTGCGAGATTTAGTTTCCCTGCTCAAAATCCTGGGCCATAAGACAGGCTGATGTGACTTACATCAAAGCAGTAGCCAAACTCCAGCTGGTCCTTTTCACCAGGCTGCGTGAACAAGCCCTGCGCCGCGCCACGCCGCCGACCACGACTACCTCGAAATCCAGTGAAGGAGGCTGCGGCGCCATCAGGGCGGAATAGGCAGGGAATCATGAGATATCCTAACGTCGAGACCAGAAGTGAGGACCCGATGAAATGAACGAAGATAAAAATCAGAGACAGCCGAACGATGGACCCAAACGACGGCGCATAGGCGAGGCCCCACGCGAGGGCTGTGAGAAGAAGGAAGAAGGAGAGCAGGTAGGTGAAAGATGGATCCGGGCGATGCCAGGTATTCTTCGTTTCTGGAAATCGGTCAGTTCCTCACCACGGCAACCTGGTCAGACATGCAGAATACGTATACTCCAGACAACCTACGTTTCTTTGAGCCAGACAGGGAGTCAGTAGACAATCAACATTTTCTGTGGTCTGGGAACAGGTATAACGTACATGGTAGTATATTGACTTGAAAACTTTCTTGGGCGCAATTAACAGAGAGGTCATCTCCCAGATTGCCATCTCGAAATCCATCTGCGGGAACTTGAATAGCCTAACCCACAAGGAAGAAGGGAGGGGTATGATCAGCTATAGGCCGAGGATGTTGATAAAGATCGTCCTGGAGGCTCCACGCCGGGCTGTACGCCGCGTACCGAAGGCTTCCAGTCCGAGTTGAAACGCCTACCTTTTAAAGAAGCGCGGCATCCGTATACTGGATCTACGGCTGGCAGGCGTAGTGCCGCCGAAATTCAATGGACTGGCATGTTGGCGGGGAACAGATATGTGAGGGTTCATCTTTCAGAAAGTGGATGAAGGAAGGAAGAAGAAGAAGAAGAGATGATGGAGGGGGTCCCAAGTCGCGGGACAACACCAGGTAAAAGGAATGAGACTCATGCAAATTGAACGTGTGACCCGCTCCAGAGGAAAAGCTAATTAAGCCACAGCAAATCTTGAGCTGCCACTGGTGAAGTAGGAGGAGGATAAGTGTGAAGAGGGGGAGGAGGAGGAGGAGGAGGAAGGAGAAGAGAAGCAGATGATGGAGTTCCTTCGACAGTGGAAACAACGCATGGTTGTTATGTCATCATCTGGGGGTCTTCTTGCCGCGGAGGAATTTGGACCCCGTTACAAATTGTTGTATATGCACTTACCACTCATACTTACTGAACTCAGCATTATAGTACTACAGTACAATATACAGACTCCCTGTTTAAGTTACAATGGATAAGTTACACTAAGTTCCCTATAGACTGTGTCTATATACAGATCACCAGCCACTTCTGCCACGTGGGATTGGATCTGCTTACAATGCTTGAAGGGATGTACAGTACAGTACAGTACAGTACACACTATGAGTACGGTGGGCTACTCATGCCAATTTGCAATAACCCAATTCTGCTGACAATACTGGTTTAGCCTTCCAAGCTGCCTAATTTAAACAAAATTACACAACTATAAGTTACATTAGGATTTTTATGGCTATTAGGGTCTTAGAGTATTTTAGGCCGAAGGTATTAGTATATTAGGGTTCTTTATTAGGGAATCTTGTATATAATTTTTATATTAGGGTCAGTTAGAGAAAAGGGCGGTCTGTTGAGCGGTAAAGCAATAATATACAAAAATACTGCAAGTTTACTATGAAAAATGGGGTTATTGCAAATTGGCACGAGTAGCTTGCCGTGCTATGGACGTTTATGTTGATTACCACAGACTGCCTAGCAACATAAAGACCAATCGACTGACCTTGAACGAGCCTGGGAAGTCTGGAAGGCGTGGCTTCTGAAACCGACGTTGACAGATCTGGTTAGGGAATCGAATAATCTTGGAAGAGCATTTGGCATTTGACCAGTCTTCCAGACTGGTGGTGATACCTCATTACTCCCGAAGTAGGTGAGGCGTATCACTTTTCCTGGTGCTTTAAAAAAGTTAAAAAAGACCCAAGATAATACGGAGGATGTACGGAATAACTACAACTATAACAGTACTTGAATCGGTGGCTGCAGCCGTCGATAAAGTGATATTTAAAGTGATAAGGTGATAAAGTGATAAAGTGGCCCCAGTGGCCCCCCTGAACTGCTAGAGGGTCTTGCGATCCGACACTAGCAGCGAATTATTACATTATTCTGGTTAGGTTAAGTTATTTGTTACTCGATCATAAGGTACGGAGTATGTTTGTTCTTTCATTTGTTTCTTCCTCTTCCTTTTTTCTCTCTCCCTCCATCTTGCCCTGCAGGGTCCCTGAGTCGACCACAATTTCCGGTGTTTGATCAAGACGCTTGCGCATGCATCAACTAACTAACATGCATTCGATGTGAGTAGCTTACAAGGTACAGTACCTACCAGGTAGTTACGGGGTAACTACTGTTACCTTCCTTCCAATTTTCCAATTTTCCAAGTTTCCAATTTATCTTTGCTCCTCTTCCATCCATCCAGCGTTCGCGATCCTCGTGGCCAGTTCACTCTCTCCACCCCCACACCCACTCTCACTTCAAGAAGGTTTCCGGCGCCCGTCTCCAAGCTTGAGTTATTGTTTGACTTTCCATATTCCTTGGGTCGTCTTGATCGCGGTCTCCGTTTCCTCCGACCTATTGCTTGTCATACACTTCCCACTCTCTTTTCCCAGATTCATGAAATCAATCCCCTTTCCCTTCACCCGTCTCTCCGACTCCACGTCGATCAATCTCTCATTCTTTCACCTTGACTGATGACCGAAGGAACATAGAAGGATCGATATAGCTCGCTTTTAATCATCACGCACTCCAATTGCAGCACTCGGCCCCTCCTCCCTCCTCCCCTTACACCACCAATTCACTCCTCTTTCTACCTCTCACGCGATGTTCAGCTGGTGGTAAATTTTGACCTACACTGTGCTTCGATGACGGCGACGGCCATTGCTATGCCGCTTATCTAATGTCCGCGAATTGGCTCCCGGCACATTCTTGAAATCAGGAGAAGGGCCAGTCAGGGCTTCGAAGCTCCTCAAGGCGAACGGTGACGCTCAGTAATCCACCGACCAATTGCTCCAGAACGGACGCTCTGTCTCGCTTCCACGACTGGGCACAGGCCCTGCTCTTTTTGATCTCGTGTCTTCTGTTTTCCCTTCCACTTTACGTTCTTTCTAGGCCCCGTCGCTCGCTTCGCATTAATGCCACGAACCCCGGCCATTCGCAGAAGTCCTCTCCGATGAACAGAACCTCTCGTTTCGATAGTCGCACAATGCCTCCGCAGCACGCAAGCAGTTCACCCCCTCAAACCCCTCCGTTCGAACCAAGCGATCGCATAGCCGCGAGAAGGGGAATCCACCCACGACCGTCCGTACGGGAGACCTTTCTGGACGACTTCAATCCAGCTGATAATGCCAACGACAGCAATGAATCGGGCGACGAGCGCGACCCACATGACTTGTCGCTATCGCCGAAACATGCAGCCCGCACCTCAATTGTGGATAACATGCTCTTGTCGTTGGATCAGTTTGCTTCGGGCTCTCTGCTGGATGATTATCGCTTGTTCAATTCGGTGTTTGAGACTGACTTGTGCGGCAACGGTTCGCCAGAGTCGATCGCGCAACGCCGCTATCGAGGCCACACTTTCTCTTCCTCCGTGTCCTCGGAGGTAGAATGCACGTACGATGAGAGCACTGGCCGTTATGCAACACAACCGGCGAGAAGCCGTCGAAGCAACAGCAGCTCGAACTATCATGCCAGCCTACGAAGATACGGCAGCACTCGCAGTCGCGAAGGAACCGGCTCCCGTGGTCAGCTGTACGATTATAGGACCAATTCGAACATTGCGTCCCCAGCGAATGTCCGGGCGTCTCGGAATGGAAATCGAGGCAGTTCCTCGCCCCCCACGGATCTTACTTCAATGCAAATGGGACGACTGGACGCGGCCGGCGAGAGGCGTTCTGCGAGCTTAGACTTCGGCACAAGACAGCCATTCATCTCCTTTCCGGATCTTGTCTTTGACTTGGACCCCTCGTCGTATGGAGGGCTTGATGCAGCGCCGACTCCAAGCGTCCCTGGTGGACCAAGTAAATTCCACTCGTCTCCGCAGGCTGAATATGCAGGCACCTCTAACCCCCAGCAGTCAAGGACGACACCCGGGTCATCGCGCCGGAACAGCGTCAAATCGCCGCGGTTGAACAACAGTCGAAAGGCTCGACCGGAAAATCTGGGCACGGCGACGATTCGGAGTCATCATCCAGATCTGGCCAACCTCGGGGAGAGCGGACTTGAACCTCCGCCGACGATCCCTGCATCGCTCGACCCGCCCGCGCCGAGCCCAACCATTTCCTTCAACAAGCCGATCTTCCCCGCGCCACCCGACCCCGCTCCAGCAGCCAAGGAACGGCCAGGGTTCTTCCGGCGTGTGTTTGGCTCCTCAAAGGTGTCGACCGCCATTTCAAGCGAGTACCACCCTTCCGACCACGTCTTCGCCCAAGAAAACGACCACAAGAATCCCAGCGGATTTGGGCCGAACGCCAAGAGTTGGAGACAGCCACTGAAGAATAGTGCAGCAGGAATCAACCCGCACCGTGAAGGAGGAACGCACCAGGTGGTGACCAAGAAGTCTTCCTTCTTCCGTCGGCGCAAGAAGTCTGTTGCTGAAAGTGCTCCTCCCCCCATTTTCTTTCCCCCGGAGCTCAGCGGCCATCTCCGCGTACTGGAACCGGCCAAACCGGAGGCTATCTCGGTTAGCAGTATAGGGAGAGGGATGAACCCTTCTTCCACTGCAGACCCCGGCAGTAGACCCTTGGACCGGCGCCCAGCCGCGGAGGCCCAAAACCTGGGAGGTTCGCCGACGCAAAATCTGAGAGGGAGTTTAGTCACAGCAACCCAGAGTCCTTCAAAGGCCAAATACAGCCTTTACCCGACGGTTCCACCGAGCAGCGCCCCGGAGGCATCATCACTCGGCCTCACCAGCAGTGGAGATGAGGCGTCGACCATCGTCAGGTCGGGTGGCTTGGATCCGAGTCACCCTGCCGATCAGCAGCAAGAACCGGAGCATCCATGGCGTGGAAAGGGAGTGGACTCGAACAGTAAGGACGTAGATAACGGTTCTGGTGCTAGTACTCTTCAAACAAAGCTGAAACCTGAGGAGTTACCCGGCTCCTCGCTTTCGCCTGTGGTTGAAAGCATCTCTCAGACAGGTGGCGTCCCTGAAGAGAACCTTGATAATATCGCTCTTCAGAATCCACCGAAGTTGAAAGAAGCCCACGAATCCTTCCCTTCAGATGTGTGCAGGGATAATGAAATGGGGAGGAATACGTCTGCCGCTGCGGCTGGCTTGAATGACTCCCCACGGGTTTCGACTTCGGAAGTGTCGAACTACTATACGGCTTCAGAAGCTCCCACCGCATTGTCAATTGAGCCAAAACGCATAGATCCCCTCAGAGAGGAGTCTCATATTCCAGATGGTCCCGTTGGTGACGAACCAACAGATTCCGACCGGGAGCAAGCGAGGATGTTGTTCGAAGGTCAGGAGCAAGTGGTCGGGAACGAGCCTGCCGCCGCCTGGCTTGGGGATCCCGACCGTGCTTCGATACGCAACGCATACATGGAACTTTTCGACTGGTCCAACCTCAACATCCTGGCAGCCCTGCGAAGTCTTTGTACTCGGCTGGTGTTGAAGGGTGAGACTCAACAAGTGGATAGAGTCTTGGATGCTTTTTCCACAAGGTGGTGTGCGTGTAACCCGCGCCATAGCTTCAAAGCTGCAGGTAGGTTCAGCCCCATTCCGCAATTGAGCGCCATGCTTGGACTAATGGTATCGCTCTAGATGTTGTGCACACAATCTGT